GAAACATTAAACCGAATGCCAGACAATTAAAGACCGAAACGCTAAAAGTTTGCATAAAACTTTATTATATATTGAAATCAATAATAAAACAATAAATCAAACATACTATGAATAAGAATAAAATAAGGAATCCGTTGTTTAGATCCTCAAATCGAACAAACAACCGTCTGCCCCTTCGACGATTCGCGCATGTGGGCACGTCTAAATCTATGTTTAGTGAGGAGAGAGTAGAAGCGAGTGAAAGTCCACCTGAAAAAGAGGAGGGTCTTGGGTGTGAGGATGAAAACCGGTCTCGTTGCACGCAGACACTTCTTTCATGCCACTTTCAGGAGTAAGCATAAAAACTCCAATCCTGCAACAAAATGTAAAAATGAGTTTCTAAATGTTTATTAAAGAAAAACAATTGCTACTGATTATGTTTCGGGGAACATACAACGGCCACTGCCTCAGGAAACATCAGCTGGTACGAACAGTGCGTGTGAAGGTCGACACTGGACAAAAATGCAGTCTGCGTTGGATGAGTCTAAGAATGATGACCAGTCAGAGTAAGTTTTAGAACAATAAAAACTATAAGAAATGAATACATCTGTTCAGCGCAGACAATAAAATTAAGGTAAAATATTTTGCATTGCAAAAGACCTTGCAAACATGCTGCATACTGTCTTTTTCGCCTTTCGGATTAGTGAGGATCGACGACCTCAGTCATACAAAACAGCCTTGAGAAGGAAATCACCCGCAAAAAGTAGCTGTTTTCAAAACATCTTCCATGCCTTTCCAATCATTCATTTGTCAACGATTTGTAAATACAAACTGCGCGCAGTTCTTCCAGAGTTTTTTCATGCTAGCAGGTTATAACGCTGCTTCATATTCAATATCGGTAGGCAATACTAGGCTGGACTGGGGATGATGATCAGAAGCAAAATCGTACGCAATTACCTGAAATACCTTTGTCGAGTCGTAAGTCAGAAGTGGAGAATGGGAAATCGCAACCTTTGGAATACTAGTCGACGTTCTTAGTCAATTCCACAATGGACGTCGTTTGTGGCACCCACTCTTCACGAAGATTGTCGACAGCGCTTACTTTTTCTCATGCTACCTGTCATAATTGCCCTAATCTTCTGACGACAGAATCTACACCACGTGGCACTAAAGCGCGTAGTATTCGGCTACCCCTGAACGAACTAGTATATTCACTAATGTATCTCATACATACGGATGAAACGGCACAAATCAAAAGTTCTAAGTTGAAACGTTTCAACTGTAAAACTAACCCTCTATACAATGAACTACCTTAAAATTCTCACCAGAAATTGAACGGTATGACAGAAAGAAACAAGTTACATGGATCCATCCTAACTGCAGCAAGTCGTGTTGGATCTGAAGAGCGAAAAAGTCCTTCTCGTCCTCGGCGTTGCACGACGTCGATGTTCCGCTCTGTTTCGGTACGATAAGATGGGAGACTTCGAATGTACCATTTACCTGGGAACAAAGAGAATAAAAGAAACAGATATTAACGCAGTCGAAAACTCACCAACTTTCCACAAAGAATGCCACATGTTTCTATGTCATTTTTGGTGTTGTTCTCGGCAGCCCGCAAAAACCGGTGAATAAGTTTTTCCGGTATTGTAACCGGTGATAAATCAGAGTACGTCGAGATGCGAGGTACCGATGATGATTTAGTCTTATAACCTGGTTTCGTCGTCCGATCGACTATTGGCATTCTGAAGTGGAAGCTTAAAAACTAAAGAAAGCACGAGTCAGTCTACCCTTACCTTTGACAATTTACGTCAGTGCTAGTCTTCTCATTGTCAGTTTTGCTGTCTGAGGACATCGGTAGATGCAGATGTTCATGACGATCTTCACTGTCATTGAAAGAGTCTGAAACATCATGGTCTTCGCAGACTTTCGCCTCCTCCGCAGCCGCTTTTTCCTAGTTTCGTTCAGAGAATAAATGATCGGTGGGTAATCAGTGACTTTTACCATCTTCGCCTCCAGTTCGAGCTTTTGTTCCTCATACACAGCTTGGATCTTCATCTTCAAACGTTCGGCAGCATTACAAGCTTCTTTCGTATTTTCTATAAGCTATACGGCAGATAACGATGAGCAGCCGTGAACTTCATATTCGAAACAGACTTTAAGGAACTTGTCCTTTTCTGCTTTACAGAACTTCTGGTATTCGGGATGCTCAGGAATCTTCTCTACTATCAACCTAAATAAATGCAAATCGAAGTATGGCAATTTAAACAATTTTACGCTTCGCTCGCCTCTATGTCATGTGTGCACATTTTATGGAACCTGGACTTTTATGCAAACAGTTTGTGGAATCTTATACAAATTCTGGCCATAAGCATATTTGTGAGACTCTTTTGCAAGCTCATGCTACAGATTAGCTTAAGTTGCTGTTTCAGTCATGAAAGCAACATCTAATACTAAGTAGCAAATGTCGAGAATGTCATTATCGGTAACTTGCATTTTTCAGGCATTGGGTAATCTACTTCTGTAGGATAAAAGATCCGTGATCTCGACAGACACTTGAAAGTGTAATTTTTCGGCTACCAATTTGCTATAAAGTTGTTTTCGTTCGCGTTAAATATACCAAAGTTTAACAGCGTCGTTCACTAGGTAAATGATGTCTAATCCTATCCTGTCCAATGTTAACAGTGTCTCAGATACATGGACATATGACACATCGTTGGCTACTGCTCCAAGATCATTTACTTTGTCATATGAACGTATAATTCTAACAGGAGTTTCCAGATTTGTATTGCCTTCCAACATGCGGTCGATGAATGGCTTACATGACCAAAATTTGGAAAAGACTTTTAGTATCTTGTTCATCAAATGAAACAGACTTTAGAGGTTCTATAGCAGTTTCATCGGACCGCTGGCTGTTGGCATCTGATCGTTCGTGGTTCGCTTGTCACGATTTCAGAACACTTCCTGATAACGTCATTAAAGTTACTGAGATGGGCCTGACGAACAGCATAACATTCAACAAAGGTTAGAATGCTTGTATCTTCATTACTGCACAGTTATGTTCTTCGTCATGTCCAAAAATAGAGGGATTGCAGAGTGAATGAAGCAATACAATTACAAATAGCTACAATATTCCTAGTATACACTACGAACAAATCTATTGATTTTTTTCAATCTAAGAATTTCTTTCGATAGATTCTGTGAAACAAATGTGCTCATAAAAAATATTTCACAGACAGTAGTGTAGGTACATTGTAAACATCTTAAGAAGTACTACCTACGTTATGTATCTTGCGTAATGTTTCAGTGCCATCTCCTGGTTCGCATTTTCAGATTCACGAGCGATTTGCAGCATTTGTTTGGCGGAATGAAGATACCGTCGAAGAGGAGTATCATGCCGGAAGGTGATCTGACTGGCACGATCGATCAGCTCTTTGACACGCGTCTTTGGATCGAACCACAACGTTTCCGAGTTCATTGTCTTTTCATGCCGAAAATCTGTTAACAAAAAGTACAACCTTTACCAGCAAAGGAAAAGAACGCAACAAATTACACTTCAAAGACAAAGCTGCAGCAGCCCATAGTAATGCAGTAAAGTACAGGTATACACATGAACGACACGATTTTATTACAAAAGTCAGAGTAATGCACCAAAAACATGAGTTTATGTAAATCAACATAGTGCTGAACAGGCATGGTTACTGTTCACCGTAACACCCGGCTTCATCGCGCCAATACCATCATTAGATCTTTAGAATGGAAACTGGATCGCAGTTATTCTAGGATTTTGAAAGTCTCAATAACCCTTGT